GCACTTCTTTGTTGAAATGATATTTATTCAAAGTCACAGCAAAACTTGAAAGAATTGTCTCTATACGCTTATATGAAAATGAAGCTCTCTTTATTCTTTTGCTATTGTAGCTAATTATGGACTTTGTAAAGATCTAAACTCATAATATATAATCATCAAAACATGTTTGGTACTGATACAACAGAAGATAACAAAGTGGAGAATTTACTTGGTTGAGGTCGTCATCAACTTTTGATTCAGGATGCTTCTTGCAGAATTTACAAATGACGTATGCATTCTCACATATTGTGATCTTCGTCTCCCGACTCTCTCTAAGATGATAGGAAAAGAGATTAACATAGATAGTAACCATGAATTAGTACCGAAATCCGTAGAAATCTCTCAAGTACCATGAAGAGAAATTCTGGTACCTCATCTTCTTTTCCTTCTCATTTGAGGAAAACCAAGCCCTGCATTCCCAGTGTTACCCGCGGCTTGTATTGGTTCAACCAAACCTTTTGTATTCTTCCCGAGCGTCTCACCCTATATTTTGTATTTCCCCAATATTCGTTATTACGGTGACACTACATAAATCAAAAGTGATTATTAGATTCGTAAGTTACCTCCTTCCAACCCATGTTTCCCATAATCTTCCTTGCATAGCTTCCAGATCCAAATGAAAACTCCAATGCTTCCGCTGTAGCATCCTCTTCTGAAGCAGTATCATGCTCGTCTGCGTTAAGGCCAACCATTGTTCCCTTTTGACCTGGCCCAACACCATATCCACCATGCAAATCTCTTCTCTCCGCGGCTCTATCTCTGTATGAAGAGCTTCCCTGTTGATAAACAACACGAGCATAAATCAAAATGGTTGCTTCTTACTGTGGTTTTAATAACCACTAAAATACGCGATCAAAATACTATTGGCAGATTTAAGTTTCTCACTGAAAGCCTCTTACACAGATTTATACCCAAAACAAATATAGCTCTAGAAAAAATGTCTCCTACTATATACTATATTTGGCAGAAGTTCTACAAGCATTCGGAAACACAAAATACAAGAACCCAGCCATGAAGGTGGATTTGGATGGAGTACCTCTTCAATCATGTTGACTTCATCTCGTGGCTTTGCCGTGTGTTTGCAGTCGGTTTTCGGTTTCACTTTCTTCTTACTTTTGCGTTTTGTATTAGGATTTTGCCATGTAGTTGAAATATCAGGGAATCCCCAATCTTTTGTCGGGTTGGACGAGTCATACACAGACAACAATGCAAGGTATTTTGCGCTAGGATTTCGCAGTTTATAGACTTGACCTGGAACACAAGATATGAGAATTATAATCCATAACAAAGCACATAAGATTACCATTTATGGTGGGTCAAGAGCAGCCAAAAACTGGCGCTTTATAAAAAATCCATTCTAGCAGAACGATATACTTTTTAAGAGGAACAAGGCTCGTTTTAAAGGAAAATGGTAAACCTGTCCTAACTCGAACCAGGTGAAGCCGTGCTTCACAAATTGGTGCAGTTTTAAAAAGTGTGCCACCAGAAGATACAGATGGATGAAGATTGGCAGACCGTTTCACCAGCCTCCCTACTAGCCTAGCCACATGTTCATTGTCAGCTTTTCTGGATTCACAAACAAGTTTATAATCCCACAAATCAACAGCCGGGATCTCAGGCAGGGTCTTCTCCGAGGATTCAGTGACTTGACCATATTGTGCTAGCCACATTTCTTCCTCCCTTGAAGGAGCAGCTACAAATGAAACTATGAGAATCAAAGCCATGAATATGAGCTGAAGGAAACACATCATTGAAGTAACAAGATTCCCTAACAACACTATGGGCTAGTTAATCAATTCATGATTTCAAATCAGCTTACGAGAGAGAACAATACTACACCCCATGACGAACAAGGATTTATGTAGCTTCATAAATAAATAACCATAACCAAGAAAGCCAATATGGTGCAGAGTGAAAGCAAATGAAAAGAACATAAGGAAATAAAAACCTTCATCAAATTTGTCTTCCTGTGGATCAAAATCCTCTTCAGGAATCCATTCTCCCTCTTCAAGTTCCTCAGCATCATCCTCTCCTGAAGAACAAACACAATTTGTAGCTTCTCTCCTTAGATTCCAAACTTGAAGAGCAAATTGATTCCAAAGTTTGCAATATAAAAGGCTAATAAACATTATCCCAGGCAAAGACCATTATCCTGATGATCAACCCCAGAAGCTGTATAATTGGACCGTCGATTAGAACCAGCCAGATAAAGTTCGATAAGTGCATCTTCCACCCTGATCCAAAGGACATAAAAGAGTTTCATAAACCAAATGATGAAGCAAGATATATTAGTGTCCATGAAAATGAAAGATATAAACTTACCATGACGAAGGTCGTCGAGAGCGTTCAGGTTCCTGGTCATTTGAGCACCCTGTTGGTTCTTTCGAGCCAATAACGTATCTATCAGTTATCTATTATAGATCAATATTATGCATCAATACACTGGAACTCTCTCACTTAACTTTACCTGAAGGAGTTTCACTCTGAGCAATATAATATTTTCTGTCTGAGTCAACTTGAGTTAGAAGATCACAAGTGACAGTTTCTCCAGGAAGGTTCACACTAGTCTCTTCATATTCCAAGAGAACATATTCACCGTTCTCATACTTGTAGTAATGACCATCCTTACTACAATAATACCAACCATCATTTGGGTCATGATAAAACCCACTTCTG